CCCAACCCAGACCCAACCCAGACCCAACCCAGACCCAACCCAGACCTGACCCTGCAACGTACTAATACATGCTTCTATCAAAGGGTGTACTAACAGGGTACAGGGTGTTGTCTTAAAGATTAAAAAAAAAAAAAGTGACTTGTGACTATCTACCTTGATGCAGTAAATCTCAAGGTAGATAATGGTTACAAGGTTTAATTTTCAATGTAATTCCAATTACTAATCATATAATTCTGTGACAGGTACAGGAAACTTGATTATTAAATGTTAAATTAATTGCAATCGTACAACTTCCAAGCTAATATATGGCTTTGCATTTACATTTTACAAAGGTAAGAAATCATTCTAAAGTTGTTGATATATACTACAAAAGAGAAAAAAGAAAAGGCCTTAAATGCAAAAGGTTCACTCACACCTAGGCGACGAAACATACATAGTTACACCAATTGCATAGAGAAACTTGTCTTAATTTCATTTGTTAACCAATGTATCATACGTTTCACAGTCTGATTCGCACACTGTATCTCACTGACGCTACACTAACAATGGCACTCGTCTCCAAATAATCAGGATCGGTGCAGACATCCACTTATTGTCCATAACGAGTTTCTTGTCATGGTATCAGCAAATGACACACCTTTTGCAGACTTCTTCTCTTCTCGTACAAGCTTCCGGACACAATCTTTAGCAGAAAAAAAAAAACCTCCACCCCAAGAAGGAATAACTTCGATTGGCATTTCCCATCCGATAACCTCCACTAATGCCTTCGATCACTTATCTTTTTCTTCTCCCTGCAAAATTGAAATGTTAGATTACTTCTCTTCTTTCATAAAGAAACCAACGATAGCAATCCAAACCTCGTTTACATGGGATATCCGATAACCGCCACAGATTTCTTCGTTTGGTCGCTCGTTTCACTTCGTAGAGTAAAGTTTTACCTAATGTGGAACTCCATATTCTGTTTTATTCTTCAAACAATGACACTTGGTCAATTGGAGGCACAAACGAAACTCATCTGCTAGGGCCAGTCACAAACTGTGTAAAAGTCTAACCTAAAAATAAAAAGTCATTCGTAAAATTTTGTTAATCGGCTCACTATATCCTCACTCATGTTAGGTCAAACGCATAAGGTTAGGGTATGATAAAGTCTAGAACCTAACATATTAACTGAAATTAAATTTAGCTCGAACGCATCTTAATCGATCTAGGAACGTCTAACAAATAACGATGTAATTTGGGTAGGGTCGGTACAGTAGAACGGTAGTTACACGCAAATTCTTGATATTATACATGACTTGATTGATAAACAACACGTGGTCGATAAATGCGATAATGCGTCTCGAAGTCAGCCTCGTGCCCGAAACTGACAGATGACAAATTCGAACAGCTTTCAACCGGCATGAGTTATTCAACACCTCCTATATGTATATCTGTCAAAAGTATTGTACTTATTATTTAGGACGAAACAACATGAGACATGTGATAAGGATACGATTTATCACGAATATATAAGTAACAAATATTACTTATAATATTACATATGCTTTTAAATTTTTGCGAAAGGTTTTTTTTTTGTAAGCTGATTCGGAGGAACGTAAACCGCGACGTTGGCGGTAATCCAACTACTTTTTAAGTTTACGAAGATGTCTGTTTTATGCAAATTCGACGAGTTCATTTGAGGATTCATGCTTGCGACAGGAATAACATTTTATTTCGTTGTTATATATTTCGCTTGTAATTATTTTTACCTACCTTTTTCCTTTTAAATAATCCCTTTTATCGTTCGCATAAATAATAAATATACTAATACGTGTGATTTACGTATACCTATATTTACGATTCTATGCGCATATATATATATATTGTGACGGGGCAGACTTTTTCTGCCCGTCACGAAGGCACCCTGACCCCCGGAAGGGCCACGCTCCGTTAGACTTCCCTCCGTTCGTTTGGCAAATCTCCCGCGTGACCTTGCGCGGTTTGAGAACGCGCCGCGTTTCGAAGGGGCCCTCTCCTTCGAAACGCGAAACCGTTAATTCCCGACGCAGTCTTTTTTCGATTGTATTTGATTCTAGGGCGGACTATTTGTTTGCGTCGCCTCCTCCTATGGAGTTAAGTCGCGCCTGTTAGGTATTCGTTTTCTTTTCGTCGGATATTTTCTTTTTGTATCGGAAATTCCGCGTCGCGTGTAGTCGCCACACCCTTTCCTCAACGGTGTGTGTACCGCGGAATTCCCCCGCGTCGGTTTCGATTAAATAAATAAATCCGATTAAACGTACGCGGATCAAAGTTTATTTCCCCTTTTAACGTCCCCTGACTTTCGCTCTCCGTAGAGCAGCCGGAAGGACGAAAGTAACGGACGAGTGCACTTGGCACTGGCGCCCAATTCTTCCAAATAAATTCGTCCGTGGAAATTGTGCGACCGAGCGTGTCGAGTAGCGGCTTTCCCGGCCGCCCACGCGAGGTACGTCACAATATATTATTTAGAATTTTAATATATTAATATGTATATGTTAGCGATCGGTCGATATATTGATTTTTCGGAATCAGCTGATCTGCCGTTGTTTCGGTCAATGACCGGTTCTCGAAAGGTGGAGACAGCTGAGCGGGCCGAGTGGCGGCAAATTGTCGGTGGCTCCAAAACAAATATCCAATGACCGATGCGTTACCATCGGTAACGCATGAATGGGCCAAGCAACCTGACGTTGCATTGCTATGATTGGTGATATATTTGCCATATTATATTAAACATTAGAATAAATGTTCTAGAAAGATCTGACCACGGAGTGGGGAAGGCTTGTCCTTCTGGAAAGAGGACCGTGTTGAACCGCACGGCACTTACCCCAGAACTGTTTATTCGAGAAGACGTTATTATTTTTATTTTAATATTTATAACATATATATGTGTATACGTTCATAAATTCAGACGCATTTTATACATTCAGTCGTTTTTTGTCTTCTGAGTTTTGTTTTTTTATTTCTTTTTGAGTTAAGTCTGGGTTAAAGTTGTATTTGTTTACTTTTCACTGGGTACGCGTTTCGTACGAGTAATTCAAGGATTCAGGTTTAAAAATAAAATAAAGCTAGTATCCTGTGGTCCCATTTTGGCCAACAGTTGATTTCGGCTGAACAAATTCTTCCACGACGATAGAAATCCCATCAAGATATTCTGTACTTGGAGTTAAATGCTTGATTCTCTGGAACTATGCTAACGTTACCTGAAATCGTTGTAAGGAGAAATGGTCAGTGGACATGATTCAGTGGACATGGCGTAGTTTGAAAAAATTGAACGCGTTAAAAAAAAGAAAAGAAGAAATTCCTCAAGTTAGCAAATAAACCCACCAAACGCTGCACTTGTGCATCGGATTCATCGGCGAGCCTAAAGGACAATCGTAGGCCTTGGCAAAGTCGTAGCTGTTGGAGAGCGGGCCCCAAACTCTTATAAAACCCGGTGAATGAACGCTACTGCGAATTTTCGTTAGAGCATCTTCCCGTCTCATGGTGCCGCACCAGATCTGCGCGTAGTTTAAAAAAAATAGCTGTTCGTGAGTTAGGTTCACGCCAGGAAGTAGAGGTTCGTCCCCGTGAACCGATACCCATTTCTGGTATGCCTAGAGTACACGAGAATATAGTACGATGTTCGTTTCATTATTATATATCTACGTATACATCTATGTACACGTGTATATACGTGTCTGTCTGTTGACATTAATTCGGAATTACTAGCAAAACGACGTGATTTGCCGTTCGAGTATTCCATAATACATACAGTACAGAGTTGTATGCAACGACCTAGCAGCACATCACACTTGTAATTCGCGACACGTCTATACATATTTCCTTCAAACTGGACTTACTCGGAAAGATTGCTTGAGTCCTCCGTTGTCCGCGATGTTCTCCCCCTGAGTCATCCTTCCGTTGATGTACAAACCGACTTCCTGTAGCTTGTACCTGGAATACTGATCCACGATGCACTGAGCTCTTCTCCGAAAAGCTGTGATAGTTGCGTTGTTCCACCATTGCATCATGTTTCCGTCTTTATCGAACTGACGGCCCTTCTCATCGAAACCATGAGTGATCTCGTGGCCAATCACTACACCGATCCCGCCGTAATTCAGTGATTTGGGAAAGTGTTGGGAATAGAAGAGCGGCTGCAGGATTCCTGCTGGGAAGACTAGAACGGCAACGGTAGCACGTGTCTTTCATTCAAGAAATTAATACACGAGCTGCTTCTCCTCGGATGATTACATGTAATTAATTATCACGCGCCCTGTATGCTAAAAGTGTTACATGTGCGGTTGAAATGAAACTATCTTTTATATCATGGACAACTTTTCGATGTCTTAAAAAAAAAACAAAAAAAAGAAAAGAAAAGACAAAAGCAAGGAAAGAAAAGTGTACGTTTCGCTGGCGAAGACGATAGCGGACGAGGTTTCATTTACCGATGTCATTTTTGTTAGGATTGTAGAAGGCGTTCACAACAGCTGGTTCCGTGGACCACTTATTTCTATCAACCGGCTTTCGTAATATTTCTATATTGCGATAAGCGTCGTACTTGGATAGCGCCAGCACGTTCTCGAGAAAATGGTTTTCGGTAATGTTCAGCTAGAAAATTAACAAGAAAAATAAAAGAAATAGGTATTACAATATTTTCTGGCAACGTAACCATCTCGATCGATTTCTGAAACGGCGTACCGTCGCGTATTCCTTTGATAATTCGACTGGATCTTTCAGAAATTCTGGATACCCGATTCTCTCGTTCATGGAGTCAGCTTTCTTTTTTGCCACTGCTCTCGTTTCATCGTCCATCCAATGATTCTCTGCCAGTAATTCGTTGAACGCCTCGCGTATCGTATGGATCATCTCGAGTGCCGTCTCCTAGAAAACAAACCATCTTTCGAATTCAACGAAATGAGAAGACGAAATCGTGCGAAGTGGAAAGAAATAACCTTGCTATCGTGATCGAAATTGTCTCGTATAAAGAGAGCACCCGCAGCCATGCCTAGCTTTTTGTTCGTCCATTCGACGCATTGGCCCCATCTGTTTCTCTCGCTCGATATTCCTTGGAGAATCTTTCGAAATTCGACCCTCTTTTGCTGGTACTCGTCTATCATATGAGGCATTATAGACATTACCAGACGCCAAAGTATGTAATTGTGTAGAGTTCTGTAAACGATCGTTCGTTCAACGTTACAAATATACACGTAATACCTACTACATAGTAGATATTCGAGGTGTTGGGATTTAGTTACCTGCGATCCGTCGTCTGTACGATGCGGCCCATTTCCAGGAAGTATTGCATACCGTAGACCACGATCGGCTCCTCTTCCGTTATAGGAACTCTGATGAATTCCTCCAAGTAAACGCGCCACTCGATTTGCGGAATTTCACGCTGCAGTTGGCGCAATGTCAGCTTCCGGTAAATGGCGGAGGTGTCGTGCCTATCCGCCTCCGGTAAGGACGCCTGTGTAGTTTAATACGATAAATAACATGTACGGGACATAAGAATACAAGTTTCAAACTTTATTCTCACGTTAGCCAATTGTTTCTCCAATGTGATTACACGGTTCAACTCGTCCGATGCAGTTTTCGGATTGGCGCCGAGTAACAGAGCGACGCTCGTCATGTAACGATGATAAGCGTTCAATTCGATTTCGCTTTTCGAGTAGTAGTCTCTGCTTGGCAACGCCAGTTGCATCTGATCCAGCTGCGAACAAGTTCAAATTCGATAACTTTTCAATTTTAACCTTCCAGTAAACTGAGTAAACGATAAGCGAAGCTTTCCTCAAACATCTTCTAGTCTCCCGAGAGTTTCCAGACTAGTTGACTTGGAGCGACATTCCAACTGGTTGCAATTTTTTTTTCTCTTTCTTATTTTATTTTTATATATTTAAAGTAATCGAAAGCATCTCGAGTTCCCCATTGTCCTCTCTTTTCCCGCTTTGTACATTACAAATTACATTTCTTATACCGTCCAGTCGTTGACCATGGGGGCCTTACTTTGCCGTCGCACCTGCAGGATGTTGGCTGAGGAATTTTTGTCGTCTGGTCCAATCCATTGTTCCATAAACACTCCCTCGTTGTATTCTCCGCGTAGACGACCTAGAAGGACTTCGATCGAATAAACTGGTGGCTTCCAAGATTCGCCGACTACCGCTGGCCAGCCACCTAGGGATTCTAGACTCTTTTTAAGGGGCGCATCGCCGATATCCCTGATGCGACCTACGCGCAACAATAGAAAATGATGAAAATTAAAGGTAGGATCGGTCATCGGTAGGTAGGTCATAGAGGTTCACAATTTCCAGATCGAAGAAAAGATAGATAGATAGATGGATAGATAGATAGATAGATAGATAGATAGAGAGAGAGAGAGAGAGAGAGAGAGAGAGAGAGAGAGCGCATGCGTTTGAAATAGGATTTTCGTTGTACCCACGGATGTCCATGCACGATTTGTAGAACATCTTCGCCTTCAACGTGGCGTCGTTATCGTCGGCGTTCGGTGGTTCCTCGAGGACGCGTTTCAGAATCACTTGCAACTGGTCGGCCAAAACTTCGAATGTATTGATGGAACTTTTGTCCTCTGGTATCACGTGCTGTCGGTTCCAGGCACCGCAAGCGTATTGAAAGAAATCCACGCATGGTGCGGCGGTTTGATCCATCGCTGATAACAGACTCGCCGCTGAAATCATTTTCGCAACAAGAAATTAAAGTTTTCAACTTTCCAAACTTGTATTAACGGAAAATTCAACAGCTACGATTTCAACGTTCGTTTCGATTGCCACATAAATTCGAGAGAAACGAAAATCGAATTGCGATAGCGGCTCTCCGGTGCCCGTTCCCCCGTTTCCGTACAACAAGTAATTCCACCAACAAAAGTTAATCCGATTACGCTCGCGTGTGCACACCATGCGTTTATCACGAGATAAATGCAATTCCGACCGACCACCGATCAGTTTTCGCTGATCCGATTACGTTTCTCCGTCGACTGTCTCGCGAATATTCGACGAGCCGATATCCGTTACTCTTGGTCTTTTACTTTATACAGACCGCGAGTCGATAGTTGAGCGTCCGACCACGATTCGTACAGGACATCCGCGATCAAAGTAGACATACGTTATGCGTTAAACGTTCTTCTTCTTTCTCGTTTGCCAAACATTTTTCTCGAGTAATTGGATTTGTCGCGGTGACGTATCGTTACATTTTCTAATAAACATACAACCTATCGTTTAAATTCTTTATTTTATCTATCCCTTTGTCTCGGTTTAAAAACTATACCAACAGCAAGTCAGTAAGATTTTCATTGTTAGTAAAGTCTGGGATTACCTGTTACGACACATTCCTCCGTCATGCAAACGTTAGGACCTGAAAGAAGAAAACACAAAATCGTACGGATAGTAAATATCGTTAACACCGTAAGGATCGCTAATAAATTCTGTACGAATGCAAGAAAAGTAAGGAGGGAATTGTTAAACGTCCAGAAAATGAACGCGCGTGAGACCGAAAACCGATTTTCTTTAGCAACAATGCCAATTCCTAGCATTTGTTTGTAACACCTGTACAAACAAAGGTATATCATCATCGTTTTTGTCTCCATCTGTACAAAAGGCCGTTTCGCATATCTTTCTGCTTAAAAAGATACGTAAACGAATCGCATTTACACCACCGAAGAGCGATACTACTTGCTTTTGTCCGAGCAGAATTGGTCCGATGTATCGCTCGTTGCGCTCCTTTTACTTTTTATGCTCTTTCTTGTTGTATTTTTCAACGTTTAGACCATTTATTTTCAACATCTAAAAGCATTACATTATAAAAATATTAACAAAAATTTGTATCCCGAGCGATATATCGGTAGTACGACAGCTATGAGATAACGGGTCGACGCAGCCTTTTCGAGTGAAACTTGATAGCCTCGATTCGATTCGACCAATCGATATCTGTTCGCCCGACACGACCATCGTGCGGTGTTGGACGTCGAAAGCCCGCTCTTTCTCTTTTCTTTCCAGCTTTCGATCTCTCCTTATTCCGCGTTTCGATCACTTTAAAATCAATGCGCTCCACTGACTACTTTTACAACGTGGTACATGTAATAATACGTGTAATTGAACGCCAATAGTTCTAAATAGATAGATACTTGTATGTTTGGACGCTAATGCTTAGCTTTGTATCGTTGTCTATCCTCCAACACCTAATTTCGCAATAGTACCGTTTGGCTAACGCTCGTCAACCCCGTTTAATTAAACCTGAATCATCCGATCTGAGCGTGGTAATTTATAGCTAATTCAACTTACGTGGCTTTTGTACGCACTCGCGACTCGTGTTCAGCGCCAGCAGCAAAAGAATGAAAAGACAAGTGGCGAAGAGAGTGACAGCGAGCACACCCAGCAATTGCTGTCTGTTGGTCGTCCCTGTTCGTCTACGCGTGATCGACGTGGTGGTCGCGGCCCTTGTTGTTATTCCACCTATCGGCCTATTTCCAGAGTGGTGGAGAACCGTGGTCGTCGTGTTTCCACAGGGACCGTAGCTCACCTGCAACCAGCACGGAAATCTTTACCAAAACAAACAAATCCAACGAGGAGGAGTTTCTTCAGCCTACACAGACAAATATATGGATTATTCCGCGTAATAAAGTAATATTTGGAATATGTTATGGTCGCCTAATTCGGGAAGATGGTTTCAAAATGAAGGAGGAACGTGTTACTCTTACTTTTACCCTTACCTCGATAGGATTGGATGCAGGTAATGCTTCCTCCTGAACGGATCCAGGCGAAACTTGGTTCTGCTCGATGATAACGGCCGCCCTGAGATATCCGTTGTTGCCCTCGGACTTCATTCTCGATCTCCCGAGTCGACGCGACGCTGACGCTGACGCTGACGCTGACGCTGACGCTGACGCTGACGCCGACGCCGACGAGGCGACGACTCGACACTGTTCCCGTCTGAGCTGGATCAACTGGATCAACTGGATCAACTGGAGCAGCAGCAGCAGCAGCAGCAGCAGCGGCAGCGGTACCAGAAACCTCCGCTCAAGATTCTCAATTCGCAAACTGTGTCAACGACCGTTGCATTGTAACGTTGACATCGCGTCTGTTTTTTCGATCGGACAGCAGGACGCGCAATCCAGTTAGCCCGCTCAACGATCGATCGATCCTAGCCGAAAAAAAATGTTCCCTAGTCTCACTCGCGAGTTACCAGTCAAGAGTCTCAAGATCAAGATCGACGGTCGACTTTCATCCGTAATGGTCCGTGGAGTTTTTTTAGCCAAGCTATGATTTTTGATAATTCCACGGAAGCACTTGGACTTGTCGTTTCTCCCGTTTCTTCCCCGTTTATCTCATCTACCAGGTGGATTTTAATTCGCCGACGAAACAGGCGATTCGAATTCGAGCCATCCGACTCGTGTCGCGTTGACGAAGAAACACCGACCAAAGGAAGATGCCACGATGATTAGCAAACTTTTTGTTCCGAAAGGATCTGTGACCGCCGTGCTACTGACGAGTATCACCGCACGGACACCTCGCCGCAGCCTCGCACCACCTCGCAGTGTCCCTTCCCCCTCCACTTCTGTTTTCCTCACCCTCGGGCGACCCTCGATTTTGTTTATAACCAGAGCCAGACTGCCAGCAGGGTTCGGATTACAGGTAAAATTAACGCCGCGTCTGTTGTTATTTCGAACGAACCGACCAACCTTTTTACTACGTATATTTATGCTATTTATTCATTCTGCAGTTCTACATAACACGACCAAAAACAAACAAAAATTAGCATCCTGCTATTTACCTGAGCTGACACGATTCGATGACCGGAAATTTGACTACGTCGACATCGTCGCGTTTACTTGTTCAACGAATTCACCCTCCTCGACGTTCCAACCCCCTTTCCTGGCCATCGTCCGGGACATTTTCTCCTTGCCGATTATCTCCAGCTTCTACGGGAAACGATGTTTCACCTCCGAATCGATATAGGTGTACTGCGAAAAATCACCAACGTACGCGATAATACCAATCAACTTTCACTCAATTTCATTAATCGAACCCTTCTATCTCTCGTCCCGTACCTACCACTTTTATTATTTTATTCTTACTCAATTTCTCATCCGTTATTTGTATTATTAGTACAAGTTTATACTTTACTTTATCTTTGTCAAACTTTCGGGACGATTAAACGCGTGTATAGTCGTTGACATGTTACATTATTTTCTGGTAATGGTTTTGCGTTATAGACTAGATGAGTTTAGTCTATGTTTATTTACGCTAGCAAGCTTGCATTGTTCCAATCACCTAAGTAGGTGGAAAGTTGAAAATATTTTGCCCGAGGTTTTATTATCGATCCATGTCTCAGTTTTTCTATTAATATCTCTATTTTATAGTATATCAATTCACATAATGTAGCGTCAAGTTATTTTAATAACTGCTCACGTTCGGTTCCATTGCATTTTCCACGGTACGACCAATAATTACCTAATTACTACTCGCAATATTTTCAAACACATATTCTTTAAATTTCAAACTAACGCTCCGACTGGCTAATAAGCTCGCTCGAGTGTTAAACCCTTTCAACCTAGTATCGCCACGAGAATCTCCATGTGAAACCCCATTCCCTTTGCTTGCCGTATTTACTACACACAATCTGCGAAGAACGTGTTCACTCGTTATCTATAAAAAGAAACAAATAATTTAGTGAGGATAAATTGGCTACTTTTTCCTCAACTTGATGGTGTATCGTCAATTTTAAGTGTAAATCAACTATACCCAATTGTATACACATGTGTACAGCAAATTTATTCTTAAAGAGGACCTGAATTCGTATTTAGGACATTTATATGTATATCCGGAAATGTAACTCGTGTTATATTCAGAAAATAAATTTTCTTCCTCGTTTGAATATGGCTGATCGAAACAAATATTAATTCTTACAAGTATTCAACGAAACATTAACTTGGATAAACATTTTTCACCCAATACACGCAACACACTCTAAACTGACAACAGTTCCCCACCACTTTGAAACTAAAGGGCCGTCGAATATTAACAGAGTTTAGTTTAAACACACTTGTTTACTCAAGGTGCATGCAACAAGCGGTTCATCAGAGACACGATGTTATCGGTGAATATTTGCGATCCACTTTACTGGTACAAAACAACAAGAGGGTGCGGTTTAAATCGACGCGACCGACGCAACGCCGACGTTGCACTTTTTCATTGCTCCTTGAAATTCAGAAGAATTTTCTTTGCGGCAAGACGCGCAATTCTTTTGCTATTCGAATTCATTATAATTATTTACTATTTCAAAATAAAGTGTATTTGTTGCATGTAGGTACATACCCGTTTATGTTTGTTAACACGATTGCATTTAAACGGCTAAACGGATTTCAATGAAATTATACATATATCGAGCTTAGCGTTATATTCTCCTCTCAAGATTCGAACAGATGATTTAAGAGATCCACCCGAAAGATAGATTATCCAAACATCTGTAAAGTTTCAACGAACTGAAAAGTTATTCAACAAGTAATCACTTTTTTATATTTCTTACTATTAAAACTGTTTCCATATCCTTTTCCATTCAACGTAAAATTCTACGTTGCTGTTGCTGCTGCGGCTATGACTGCGTTTTACGAAGCTGTTGCTGCGCTACAAGTCGATATCAAGCATGCGCCGTCATTGTGAATTCACGTCATCGTCGTATATTGAAAAGCCACGCATGAAACTTGATAACTTTCTACCTAATTGTTATGAATACAATAACATATTAACCGTACAAAAATAAAACTACTCGAGTTCATTACACGCACCAAACATCTCTCATTTTCTAGAATCTCACTTCGTAATTTATTATAATAGCAACGAGAGTGAATCTTTCATCTTTGAGCTTGAATTCTTTTTTTCCAAAACCAAATTTCTTCTAACATCGACCCACGCGATAAGGACTTTTTTTACTGTAAAAATACGTAGGTATAGGTAAGTTGGTCGTAGCGATTTGAGGTTGAACGAGTAGGAGAGTGAAAATGTACGCAAGCATTCAAGTGAAACGAAATCGAGCACATTTCTCGGTACAACGGTACAACGGTACAACGGTACAACGAGGAGAGGGAATGGAATTTGCAATTTTTTCTTTAATCATTCAACAGACTGGGGTGTAACAGCGTTTCGGGAGAATGCGCGTTGCATTAATTAAAAGGCACAAAAGACGGTCGAACGACGATATTAAAATGCGAGAAGGGAATTCTGCACATGTGACTGGTATGTGTGACACAATAATGATAATTATCAACTTCGTAATAATCGTTGTTACCATTCAAAGAGCATACACCGCCTTTGTTATGAAACGTGCAGTTTCAATTATTTTCGCTATGAAAATTCACTCCAACTAACAGGAACTTTAGTGGTATACCAAGTGGTGAAATGATAAGTATAATGTTAAATTTCTTTATTCGTATGAAAGGGATAAAAAAAAGAATGAAACAAAGATGCAAAGATGCAAAGAGTCAACTAGAGTGTAGCTATAGTGCTGTTATGGACTTTGGTTGAAATAAATATTTTAAGTCGCTCAACGCTCACATTGATACATCATTGGTCATCCGTGAAATAATTTTGAAAATATTCCTTATGTATTAACTATATATTGGGTTTAATTTTGACAGACGAAAATTTGAAACGATGAGTATGCTTCGTTATCTGTTTGAAAATTCATTATATAAATATACGATATATGTCGAGTATTGTTATTGCATTATCTCGTTTGATTATTCGATCGTAACGAAGAATTTTGTTGTAATCATTTTTCGTATTAGGCGGTACAGAACTAATGCAATCGTGTTAAGCGGTTCTCTCTCGCTCTTGAAACGTTGAGATTCCAGTAGCCGGCGCCGGCAAGGTTGCCGTTCGTGGATCTTTCGTCTTATTTACTCATGCTGTATCTACCTATCACGGACTCCTTTATTGTTACAGGCCTAGGACGGTATACGGCAAACGGCAATCACAGTTATTACGAGCCATCTCGTAAGTAATGCGATTTTGACTCACCAGACATTTTCACTTTCCGACTGATATTCTTATAACGAACAAAAAATGTTTTGAAATTTTTTTTCGAAAACTCTCTTATAGTTCTATCATTTTTCGCATTATTTAGTATAAATATTCGTTATTCGTACAAATTAAAAGATTCACTAAATGAATCTCACAGGGAATTAAATACTACGTAAAAAAGTTCAATGAATTTTTCCCCTGTTTTCGCTCATAAAAGATTTTCGTTCGCGATACACGTAGGATTTTCCAATATCCGAATTGCAATAAACCGTTCACATTTTCGATAGACGCTTTAACTTACGTCTTACGTTATGGGCACCGATACTTACTTGACAACTACAACTTATTGTATTAATTGTTACAGAGAACAATTTATTAAAATTGAATTCTCGCCTCCACCCGCGAGAACGCAACAAGAGAGACGACAGGGGCCGGTAAATAAATATATGTATACAACGCAAAGTTTTTAAAAAAATAAAATAAAATATGGGTAATATTATCAAGTGTATATTACCTTAATTTGTGTTTCCCATATACACCCTAGTCCAGAAGTTCCCCAACTTTTTAGACCCGCGGCTCCCTTAGTATACAGATTACACTGTCCAACAAATTTAAACTTTTTTTTAATTCCGCGATATCCACTACGTGATTCTAATAGGGTTCCTCGTCCTAAATACAAATCTGAAGACATATTCCTTCAGAATTATCTGCTCTTTTGAATGCCTGTATATGAACGCCAAAGTTCAAAAAGTTGCCGACGCGAGTACTTTTCACGAAATACTTTTGTATTTTAATGAAAAGTTATTCACCTAGGTCGAATTTACTATGCATTATAGGTTTCTGCAAACATTTCTGAAGAGAAAACCACCCGCCGCGAATGTTGTAACGTTTTCTAGTTCGTACAGATCTAGAAAATATTAATTTAGAATTAATAAACGAATTCTGTTTGCCGGCGCGCAGGTTTCGCTCGTTTTATATCGGTGAATCAGGCCCGTCGTCATGCGTTCTGCACAATCGTCGCCACGCGCTTTAATCTTTTTTTATTTAAGTTAGTGTTTGGGGGCTAAACTCTGATCTAAAGAGAAATTTGTCAGGTAGCAGTTTTCATTTAAAATTAACAACAAAATATGCAATTGATTGTTAAATAATTCAAGTTAGATTTAAATAAAGTTTGCTCAATACCAAATTAACAAAAGTCGAATAATTGAAGATACAAAAACAGGAAATTAATGATTAAAATTTAAACAGTGGAAAATTGTCTCCGTTTTATTGAGTTCCAGTATAAATGAAATATTAAAAATGAAGAATTACTTATCTGGAACATGTAAATGTAATACAAAAACCGATAGCGCGTGGCGCCGATTAGGCGAATCCCGTAGCGACGGCCTTGACTGACCGAAACATAGCGATCAATGGCTGTGCAGCGGCAAAATACCGTTCAAAACTTTTCTATGGATACGTTTTTTTTATACAAATTTTTGAATTTTTTTTCGATTATTTTTGAGATACCTTCACATTTCAGACCATATATCGTATTAGAAACGTCCGATTGGGTCGCGCCAGTTGCCATATCAAAGGTAATCGAATTTCCAACAAGTGCGTTTCACATTGTTTTCCAATCGGTTCAATAGTTCAAGTGTGACGGGGCCAACACATATGAGAAACCTTCGATTTCTTCGGCTAAATTAGAACACAACGATTTCTTCCATCGCCATGCAAAATTAATAACTGTCAAATTATGTCCAGTTTCTTATTGTTTCTTATTGTTCTTAGATCGCACTTTTACGAAGAAAGCAAGCTTTTGTCGAATAAAATCTATGGGTAAATACCGTAGTTAGGAACAATTGAGTAAAGGTACAAAAATTCCAATTTTACTCTGTTTTTGTATCATTCTCCTATTTATATAGAAAACGTTAATTTAATTCATTTCGATTAGAAATAAATGTTGTATTGCTTAACTAACAATTATTCATAAACAAATTTCGTAATAATATTTTGTTTACATAAAGAAATAAGTGTTTTGCTTCACATTTTTCAATTTTAATATTTTATTCGGCCAGTGAAAATATTTTTTTTTCCAATTCGGCCCGAGGGCAAAAACAGTTGGCTATGCCTAGTCTAAACCATATGGAAAATCGTGTTTAGACTGACGATATAGTAACAACAGAACAGACGACGACAGCGCCGCAACGGAAAGCGCGATAGTGAGGCAGCCATATTGCCATACAAATCATCAAGATTTCACAGCAACGAAGCTCATCAAGTTTTTGGAAGCGAAGAAGCAATATTTTCTCACGATTCTTTTTCTAAAATATTCTCTACATCACTCCGCATGCCACTCTAACGCCCGATTTTGCAACTTCACTCTTGAAACTTTATAAATAATAAAAGTATGGTCTCTTTTTTTCTTATAGAATAAATTTGTTTACAAACATTTTTTCCAAAATCGGGCCTTACAGTGGCATGCGCCAAGGTATAAGGAATATTTTGAAACCAGAATTATTAGAAAATATTGCTTCTTTGCTTCAAAATCCCTGACAAGAATCATGCTAGCCTAATCGTCCTGTCCTCGTCTCTCCTGCAATTGTTGTATCGCTCTCTCTGTCCTTGTCCCAGAGTTTCCTACTTTTCCCGCAACTGTCGCTGAAGTCAACTCGGAGTTTGGCTCTGGATCCTGCGCACCCATAACAGTGTACCGTCGGAGGCAGGAGGGTTGTGTTTTTTGTTTGGTCCTTCGGTCCCGTGGTATCGTGAATTCCGAGAAAAAAAATCGGGAAAAAAACGGTCGACGCAAAATGCGACGAGCGACGCGCGTCCTACCGGTTACGCTCGATAATCGTCGGCGTAAGTGCATCGGAGATCAACGTGAGTTTTAGGTTAAAAACGAGACTCCCGATGTCGGATACATAACAATGCTTGGTGTGAGAAATTCATATGGTGAAAGTCTCTTAGACTTTGCCGCGGGACTGAAACTCCGACGCGAAGGTTGTCGCGATTTCCACGCTCCTCCTCCGTTCTCTTCCTTTTCCTTTTCCTTTTTCTGAGCGAGTTCTCGTCGTGTCTCCGTTTTTCCTCCCCCTTTGCAGTTTTTCAACTGCACTCTGCTGCACTTTTCACACGCATAGTGCTCCCGTGAACGGCCAACAAGAGAAACACACAACAAAGGAGGAAAAAATGCAGAGTCTCGAGTGGCGATGATTCCGTTCGAATTTCGTCCCGTTTGTCTTCGGATAGAGTTTCCCCATCGGAAGATAAACAAACTCGACGACAGAATGGAAACCTAACTGCCACCGTTGCTGCTCTTTCTTCGTTAAAAAGGTGACTTTTTCTTATTATTAGTTTTATGTACAATTATGTCAAATATACATAACAGCATGTCGTACAAATGTCAGTATTGGAAAATATACATGTTAGGTCTTCTAAATACTATATCACGGTACACCGTTATAGAGATATCTCCTGATACATGCCTGGCTTTTGTGCACACGCAGAGCAATGCTTGGTACGGCATGTGCTAGCAGTGTTCCTCCTCGCAGCCAAACATTATTTCATTTCCTGTTCGAGGGGAGACGGTACTGAACGATAATTACCATATTTGTATCGTGCTACACACTTACGCAATCATTTTGTGTTAGTTGTTTTGTATATGAGAACTCTATTCGAGTGTTAATTAAACTATGTTAATTATCGTGTAACGTTTGTGCCTCTTTTTTGAAAAGCTTCCAGCATTTAAGTAAAAGCGATTCTGTGCAATTGTTTTCCTTACTTTTAATTCGGATTTATTATATATTTACAACAAATTAAAACTGACTACTAAATTTTAACGACTTTCTTCCTACAGAGTCGTAGAATAACCAAACATGGCTGAAGATGAGGGGACCGATTGGCTGCAAGAACTGCTGCACGACGTTCAACTTTCCCAGTTTTTCACAAGGATACGGGATGATTTACAAGTCACGAGATTACATCACTTTGATTACGTACAACCGGAAGATTTGGAAAAGATAGGTTTAGGAAAACCAGGTATCAGGCGATTATTAGATGCTGTTAAAAAAAAAAGAAACACGCAATGGAAGAAAAGCTTGATTACGAAAATTAGACCTGGCGGTAGTACGAAAACCAACAAAAGATCGTCGCAACCAGTCGAAAGTTCTACGGTGCTGACATGCCTTATTCAAGATAAGGATGTAACGCTATCAGCTAAACTGGGGGATGGTAGTTTTGGTGTGGTTAGACGGGGAGAATGGACGTCTCCTTCTGGTAGATCGTTACCAGTTGCCGTCAAAGTATTAAAAGCAGATGCTTTGACGCAACCGAGCGTTATAGAAGACTTTGTGTCCGAAGTTCAAGCGATGCACACGTTGGATCATCATAATCTGATCAGGTATGTATGTTAGCGAAAATATAGTCGATGCGACGAGTTTGTGTTACCAGTTGGTTCTTTTATGGACTTTTACAATTATTCTTTACAGATTATACGGTGTGGTATTATCGCAACCAATGATGATGGTGACTGAACTCGCACCTCTCGGGGCCTTGTTAGACTACCTACGAAAACAGTGTGGTCGAATTTCAGTATTAACTCTTTGTAACTATGCTCTGCAAGTTGCCACAGGAATGGCATATTTGGAAGCGAAACGTTTCCTGCACCGTGACTTAGCCTGTAGAAACGTTCTTCTGAGCACGGTAGATAAAGTAAAAATTGGCGATTTTGGCCTAATGAGGGCATTGCCTCAACAGGAAGACTGTTATGTTATGACGGAACACAAGAAGGTGCCGTTTCCCTGGTGCGCACCAGAATCGTTAAAAGCACGTCAATTCAGCCACGCGTCTGATGTTTGGATGTTCGGAGTAACGTTGTGGGAAATGCTTACGTTTGGCGAAGAGCCATGGGTTGGTCTAAACGGGTCCGAAATTCTACGAAAGATCGATAGAGAAGGCGAACGGTTGCATGAACCGGAAGCAACGCCACCAGTCATGTACCAACTAATGTTGCGTTGTTGGGCTCGGGAACCTCCCGAAAGACCGACGTTTGCTTTTCTCCGAACATCCCTTACAGGAATGGTACCGACCGTAATGAAAGCCGTGAATCATTTCGAAGAAACTGACAAAATGAATATCGAACAAGGTGACCAAATAGTTATTTTAGATGGTCGGCCTGAAAATTATTGGTGGAAGGGCCAAAACCAACGAACTTTCCAAATAGGTTTCTTTCCCCGCTGCTTAGTCGATCCCATGAGACGTAAGCAGCCGGAAGACATCAGTAAACCGTTGGAAAATTCCTTTATCCATACCGGTCATGGTGCACCATTTGGAAAAAGTTGGGGCAGCCCTATCTATATAGACGACGTTTATCTGAGAAATCCCATGGAGCCACCCGATGTCGTAGGGGTTGCAACTGCCCCGGACAGCCATCTAAAAAAGAAATTTTTCAGCGGGACACCACGGTCACGGAAGCAATTTAATTATACGAAATTTCAGAATGATATACGAGCTAGCCCGGTAAAATCGACAAATGCATCGGCTGCGAACAGTAGTCAGGAGGGCAGTCTGATAGATTTATCCCCCGAAGAAATGATCAACACGAGTATCGCACAATCGGAGACAGCGTGTCGGCGAGTAGTTAATATTCTCGACGAACCTATCGACGACATGGAACGGCAGCAACAACAAGCCAACTGGCATGATGATGATCCTAGAACGTACGCCAATTTCCCGGGAAACCTTGATCCTCCGTATTCGGATCCCTTCGACACGTCGTCGGTGTTTATGAAGCTCCCCCATTCGCGGTATTACAGTCAGGTCCCGCCTGACGCGAGTACTCGATATTTAAAAACTCAGATATACGGAAGCATGGAAAATCATCATCATCATCAGCAGCAGCAGCAGCAGCAACAGCAACAACAACAACAGCAGCAGCAACAACAACAACAACAACAACAACAACAACAACAAGAACAACAGGATTCTGGTAGCAGTAAAGACATTGCAAATTACTTTACACCAGAGTCCGGATCGGACGTAAATCACTATTCTCTAAATTTGAGTAAAGAAAGTAGAAACGACAGTATTAATTTGAACGTGAACATCGACTCGGAGGATAGCAACAACGCGTACGCTCAAAATCATTACAGTGAAATCGACAAACCTAGTCCCCCCATGACAAGTTGGTCCAATTGGCCAGAGGACCTCCATAACGGCACTCAGGCGTACGTGAATATCTCTAGTCGAAACGTACAGAGTTCTGATGCACCGCCCCCTCCGCCTGTGGCTCCTAACGAGAATCCATCCAAGCCAAAATCAAATCACGATCTTGCTCAATGTCTTAACGAATTGACCATCGATACTCGAAACGTCTCTCCAAAGAAGTTGGATCCTGCCTTCTTGGCTGAATTGGAGAAGCACTTAGGTGAAAAAGAAGCGAGCAAGAACATGAACGCCAACCAAGAGAATCCGAGAACTTCCGATTCGTATTCGTCTGTAAATAAATTGCAAGAGAATACGATACCAGTGTTGAGACCGCCACCTCAATCCGCTAAGCCAAAATCGCCGCAAATCGATCACAGATCCACCAATTTGCCTAGCAAAGTGCAAAATTCCTGGCAGTCAAAGACTACGAATATACAACAACCGCGTATTCATTGTCAACCTGACCAGCGTGTGTTAGAGACGGCGACCGATCAAATGGTGGTTCAAATTTGGCAGCAATCGCAGGCGTCTCATCAGCAGAGTACTTACATCAACGAAAATGTTAACCGAGCTTCTAGCGATACCCAAATGAATCTGAATCTACTGCAAATCGCACCTAGTAATCTCGGTAGTCGGTGCAACGTGTCTAAAACCAACATTAATCACGCGCATAATTCGGCATCATCCGCGGCTGGTCAAGCCGGTAACTTCCAGAGTTCCGTCCTGTCTACCGCGAGCCAAGGGATAACTCAGATACAGAACGATCTCCAACAAGCACATTCGAGCAGTGTCTCATCTAAACCCGCGGCTGTTGTGTTCTCCGAGCAAGTTTATGCAGAGCTAAGGCAAACGGTGCCTAACTTGGACCAGTTGTCACAGAACGAATTCAACACGCTCTATAATAAGACTGTCCAGCAGAATATCCTCAGAAACTATTATGCCGCGAACACGTCAACTGCCTCAGATTCGAGTAATCTAAGTAATAGTCATTATCCAGAGGGGACTGCTGTCGGATCTCAGCAGCAGGCGCGTACAGTTCAAACGAGAAATTTTACAGCGCAGAGTCACCCTTGTGACTTTAGCTCTCACTTGAAACAACCTCCTGTGTATAACCCCCCTCCTCCTCCAGCTTGGAGTCCGATGAAATCTGTTCAGAACTGTTTGGTGCAGAGTCAGTGTCCCGTAATTAAGCCCAATTTAGCGGGCAACGCCAACGGTTCTTCGAATTTACTCCAGCTCGCGCACACAAATGTATCTCAGGAAGGTATAACGATACCGCAACCCACTTCGTTGCGTGGCATACCGCCTCGGATGAACGAAACAATTGTTAATACTCAATTAGCTCCCTCTACGTCGGCATATCCCTCGGGTGTGAGCCCCCCCTTGACTGCCGCGTCTCAGCAGTTGGTCATGTCCCTTAACGATGAATTTCGTGCAAACAAAGTGACGAAGGTACAGAGGGAGGCGAATGATGCGTCGCAGCAGGAGATATTGACTGCGCTGCAGGCAACTGGTTGGGATACTAATCAGGCTGCGAAACAGATCCTAAAGGATAGACAAGCCAAGATAGAATCCCTTGTAAGGTAATTATCGCTTTTTCTTCTTCCTTTCTAGATAATCGAACGATACAAATCTAGCCTTGTAACGGTCATTGTAATAGAATCGAATTTCGTAACCAAACTGGACGTGTTAAATAATGCTGTAATCGGTCGATTATTTTCATTACAGATTGGGCTTGGCAGACAGACAAGAGTGCGAGGGTGCTTTGAAGCAGACTGAATACGACGTAGACTTAGCGGCTTCCTTGTTGCTAGATCAGGTCAGATGAAGGCATATTTAAGCCGAGTATCAGAGTTTTACTGGAAATATTGTAATATAACTGTAACGATAGACATGTAGTTACATATACATATATATATATGTATACGCGTAAACGAGGCTACGAGCTGCGAATATGAACCGACGATGTCTCCATAAAAATATGACATTTTCACTTTTACGAGATCCGAGCATTTTCTTTTCTTTTCTTTTCTTTCTAAACTGTCGAATAACAATCCTTTTTTCTTTTTTTTTTTTTTTTTTTACGAACCAAGTCGGACACGTACAGTGGCAACTTTTATCGCTAGAATAAATCTTTATTTATCTTCAATTTCTTGTTTTAAATTATTTTGGCAAAGGTAGTTTGGTAATTTAAGGAGCACCGTGGTCAAAGGAAACGTTGCATTCCAGAAGAAGGGGCGAATAATCTCGCGAATTTTCGTAGCGGATTTCGTTTCACTCGTTTAAAAAACAAACGATTGCTTTTGGATCAGCGTGTAGCTGCAACATCGATGTGTAAAATTTCGAATGGTGGAGGAGGCGGAGGAGGGGGGGGGTGGGGTGGGGCGTGTGTGTGTGCGCGCGCGCATTGCAAACAAAGTGAAATTTTCAACAGATTGTTCGTATTGTTTTTGTAAAAATTTGCGTATATTAGGTTCTTTCATTGTCAAATGCTTGCTTCTCGGCGAAATTGAAAATGTCGATCGTTCCATCTTACGAAAAGTTTTATGAAGCACTTCTAAATTAATATTGTTTATGCTTAACAGTTTCCAAGTCTGAAAAGTAAGCATTGAACACTTTAAACCGATAATCACGTCTTTCCGATTAACGATATTGCTATACGAAAAGTAATGTTCGTAAACTTACAATTTACACATCATATATATGAATGAAAGGCCAACGATTTGAACATCGAACAATTTGTTCGCGTGTCAAATAGCGATATATTTTTGTCTAATAAAGAGAGCCTGATATGCTTACGCTTTGCGTCTATAATTACTGTGTGTGGCAAGGTTGGACTTGCGTGACCGGAAGTGAATTGGATCATCGAGAATCCTTTACAAAAGCGAAAAAAATGTTCTGGTTGCGAATCGATCGTCTCCTATGTATATTCATGACAGTATTTCTGTGAAAGTACTCGTAAAAGTCAGATATCACCGACTGATTAATTTTTAGACATCGTCCACCGTTTCATGTTTCACGAACGAACTTTACGAGGAAAGTGTAAGAGGAGTGTGTCTAGTCCATCGTTAAAATTAAATTACCACCTACCGTATACTCTAAAATAAAAATTTCCGAAAAATCAGCACGGAATGTGAGTTTAATCTTCGATGCAAGATCTTCAGGTTCTGGCAAAGAATAGGAGCATCCATGTTTCCCAAAGAATAGAGGCAGAAATATGTTGTTAGTTTCGAAATGTTCCAAGCTACATCGACCAACACTTTTCGACCTGATTAATGAAATCGAATCTGACGATGAAAACGTAAAATTAACGTGTAACAAAAGGGCATAGCAAACAGCAGAAAATTGCGTTGCGAAAAAAAATATAGGATTTGTAACTGTGATAAGCGTTACTTTACTAAAGGCTCTAGGCAATACTGTTCAGAGACAGAGACGCAACTCTCCTTTCCTTTCCTCTCCTCTTCTGCTCTCTGTTGTCCTTTTTAGGGATAGCCCGTGTAGACTGTATTTGCGTAATATAAGGAGTGTACATAAACGTTTAGCGATCGAGTCAAGTTGTAATTGGAGTGGAGCGCGAGTGCTCTGGGGCTGTTTGTTTCGTCTGACTTTCACGTACCAAGTGTCTTCTCGCGAGATCGAGTTGAACCGTGTCACGCAGAAAGGAAAGAATCCTTAGAAAGCCGAAGAAAATGTCGAATTTAGTGTCGGGATAAATATGAAATTGAAATTGAACGCTATTGTTTAGAGAGAAGCAGATCTGAAAACTCGAGATCGAAAGCTAATTGAATTTAGAATCTATTATTATTATAATATAATAATAAGAGATAATTTATAGAATTATAATTATAATTATAGTTCAATATTAATTTTATACTTAGAGCTAAATACCAAGTCTCTTTCTAATATCGTACGATACGAGATCGTTACGCACAGAGTTGTTTCAATTTCGGATTCTTTCGTAAAGTAAGTCTCTTTTAGATTGTATTATAAAGTTGTGCTCCAAGTTTCTTATTAACTTTAATGTAATTGTTTGTTCAAGTTGTGGTGTTGATTCGAAAGATTGCTTTCTGTACTATATCGTCCAATCGTAAAATGCAAATAGAAAACGCTGTAATTGTTAAGCTAGAACCAGTACCCTATTTTTTAACGCATGACTAAAGACGCTATTTTTTTAAACAACTGTTTCGAGCAAGTAACAGCGAGCAAAAATACAAAAGAAATATATTTTGTATTAGATTCGGCACTGATAGCGTTTTCAGTTTCCATTTCACGTAATTTTCTTGCTTAAAATCGATTTTTTGTTACTTGGATAAACCAGAAAACAATTAACCCGCTTCAACGTGGATAAAAAGCGGGCATACAACTCCATTGCAAAACACGTTTTTCTGGCAAGAAAAGCGGAAAGTTAAGTTTAGGTGAGATAGTCTGCGCTCCGATACCGTGTAACAAGCAAAACGAAGCGAACGAAACTCTGTTCACTGCGATCGGCTCTCTAACTTTAGTGCTAATTTATTCGCTGGAAGTCAGAGTAATTGATTTCCTAACAGTTTTTCCTTACGTTCCGAGACACGTATCGGGACGTTAGCGTCGCGACAGAGCGTACAATATAACTTAGTTGTTACCATTGGCGTCGTGGACCGAGGAATTGTTCGATATTCACAAATAAAACAAGCGTAAAGTACCTAACTCTGGTGACTTTTGTTTATTTCCCTGTCATTCGAAACTCTAATGATATGTGCGACCATTTTTGTTGATCACCCGTTTGAGACTGATGGCACGGGTTTCTTCAACGAGAATTGTTGGCCAGTTATGTTGATTCGCTGCGAACAGTACCATATTTCTTGCACAAATGCTCTGCCAGCACAATTTAATTGACTTGGCCGCGGTATTATCTGGTCTGGTAAAGTCTAACTACGACAGTTTACGTCAAGCGTTCGATATAATTAAACGAAATCGAGTTAAACGATCGTTTCTTTGAAAGGCCAATGAAAGTTGGTTGCGTAATGGTCCGCTGCGCATGAGACTTTGAGAATTTAAACAAAGTAACGAACGGATACAAGAATGTCACATTGACGGTTCTTTCGTCATAGACATTTAGAAAAAGTAACGCGAATTGTTTCGATGAATTTCGTAATCGAACAAATCTAAATCAGTCAATCTATGAAAGAACGCTATTCTTTTCAAAGGAGGAAAATTATGTAGGGTAGCTAACGATAAGATGTACTACCTAAAGTGGATGCTACTTGAAACAGGTTGCTTATGATTTGACACGTGCAGAGTGCAGTACCATAGTGTATATGTATAAACTCTAGTTTTAGCGGAAGGTGGGGCTAACGATGACGACGACGACGACGACGACAACGACGACAACGACGACGACGACGACTACGACGACGACGACGACGTGAAAGTCTTTGTTTTCGCTTGTATTTGAAGAGATCGGCACACCGTCTACCTGGTTGGTAGTAGGAGAGGAAAACAGTGAACCGTCGCTCGTGGTACCTGGAACGATTACAGAAGCAGAATTGTGCTCGCGGCGCGCACAATGAGTCGCTTCTACCAACCGGAAGTTGACAAGTGCGCTCGAAAAAGTATTGAAACTCGACAAATTTAGAGATTGTGGGGAGACATTGTTCGGTGGTGGTTTCGTGTGTGAAATATTTGAAAAAGGTGTTTCTAGCCAACGACAAACCAAACTATCTGTTCTTTGTTTTTAAATGGATTAGTCGTTTCTCCTCTAAATTAAGATATCGTTAACCAAGTGTTCAATTATATTCAGTAACATGTAGACTCTAACAGTATTTTTATAGTTTGCACTATGTACTAGATATGTATAGATATTCGATAAGATTCGATTGTTTCAGAACGTTTGACCGTGTTCGAGTCTTGATCGGTTAAAATATTTCGATTATTCAGATAATCTTAAATAACTCTATCGAATGGTTTGTTGAGCCGAGAGAAAGAGAAGAGCAGTTTTAGTTTTTAGCGATTCAAAAACAAGATAATATAGGTGTTAAAATAACAAAAAAGGTTTTCACTATTTCGGCGAGCGAAAGAACTGCGCCATGAAAATGCCAGCTGCAGAATCCTCGATATATTGGGACTCGATGGGTTCCCAACGCTCGACTTCCGGTGGCAGCTCCGGAGACGCTTGCAGCTCCGGAAGTGCCAGCCGTCACTATGTCGATCCGTGGGACTTGGAGAACTATGCGTACCTACGTCGACATAGCGTCGCTGGGCTTACGCAACAGGCGTCCCGACACCATCGACGACCAGCGCACCGATTGTCGCGAGAAGCACGTGCTCACTCGGATTATTGGTAAGCGATTCGTAAGAACTATCAACTTTTTTCTGCTAAAGAGTACACTAGCTAAACAATGCATCGACAACGTTAGCTTTCTTTACAATGTTAACAATTTTCGATTAGCGGTGCTTCGTTTGTTCTTCTTCTCCTTCTTTTTTTTTTTTCTTTTGCTGTCTCTATTATCCGAATCATATACGCCCAGCCCTACAGTTTATTTTGATACAAACGAGATTGTATTGTCTGTAAGGAGATAGTGGCTGGAGGATTTATTTGTTTCTATTGTTGTTATAAATAAATTTGGAATTTGTATTCTTTCGCTGAATAAAATTTGCTCAACTGTTGAGGCGAGCAAATGTAGCGAGCACTGGTTGTCGATCTCACAATCGGTTTACCGTCATTCCCGTTCATTTTGCCTGGAATTGAACGCAACACTGCATCGCACATGGTATGTATTCCCTGTGTTTTTTTTCTTTGCCTTTCACTGGCAATTCGATCCGAATCATCGATTTAAACACGCTGCTAGGGGGTTCATTGCACCGCGTCGGCGTCGGATCGCTGTTGGATGTCTATTACGATTAAAGGAAGTGTCTCTTTCCGGTAATTAAATTCCTGTGCGATTGTGTCCCATTGGATGGCTGCGTTGCGTTGTGTGACATGTTACGGAAATTAACATCTATTAAAGATACCTTTCACAATTATTGTCGTGTTGGCGATCCCATTTAACGAATAATCAAACGAGCAAGCATTTCTTTGTCTTGTATTTGTTATTCGACATTTTTATCTAGCTAACAATAACAACTATCTATGTAGTTAACTTAACACTTGCGAACACAACGCGGCCTACTTTGCACCCACCGATACCATATTTCTCGAGCAGATCGCAATCCATGAAAAATATATTGGATTTAACAGACTGTGAACGAAACAAAGAAAATACCGTGCTAGCAAACAATGCGGCCTTTTTTATGTAACATCATCGAGATAGATTATCAGCATTTACGGTAAGAAAGTATTATAGTTAGTTATCGATGTAGATGAAATCCTACTTCTCTTTTAGACGAAAGTTTAATTCGTAAATTAATCGAAAATGTTCCGAGTTTTACGTTTTACATTTAGATGAAATAGTTTAACGTTAAACGGTTAAACGATTCAACGATTCAACGATTCAACGATTCAACGATTCAACAGGATGGTGGCATCCGTTACAGGTATTCATCCTCGGCGAGAGAACCGGGCTACGCCGCACCCGCTTTCGTGGAAGAATTGTATTGTAGACCACCTAGGCCAGCGAACAATAGTTGCCACTATCGCCAACCGATCTATGAGGACGAGGTACCTGATTACGTCGCCCCGTTTCCGGTCTACGCACCTCTCTCTGGTAAGATTAATTGCTTTTTCTTTGTATAGATTCGCCGCGCAGCGCGGTATACGTCGAATCGAGGCGAGGTCTTTATTAACAGCCAATTAGATGGAAATTATATCAGGACTTGTGAAAATTTAGCCCCTGTGATATACGCGAATATATGTATAAATAAAATATAAATAACTTGAGGACGCCAAGGATATCCGTATCTCTTTTACTCGTTCCAAATGATGTACAAGACTGTCCTAGAGCGGTAAAAGCGATTAAAAGGTTAAATGGTCGAGTGTATGAACAAAAACGATGAGCTGTCGAGCCGAACGCTGTCGATAGGGTGATCCAATAGATTGTGTTTGTTATCGTTTGACGATATACGTTTAATACATTTTACATTAATACACATTAATACATTTTATTACACCGTATCTTCAGTTTACGGGTCAAGCAAAAGAATCCGTACTTTTTCTCTTTAGTATATGTAGATTGGCACTCGTAAACAATTTGTTCATATTCCTTGAGAGTGAATTTTGATTAACACGAGTGAGAGCAGCATATAAGGGAAACAAAATATTCCAGGACAATTTAGAAGCGAAATTATGACGATATTAAGGCGCTTGTCAATTATTTTCTCTACAAGGTACGACTACGAAACTCTGCTCGTCATTTGCAATTGAAATCACGACGAAACTGCACGACGGAACTGCAAACTCATTGAAATGAAAGATGTTCGAGAAAAGAAGGTATTATCATTCCTGTGGTCATAAGTCTAGGCACGATTCGACAACCATAAGAGAAAGCGGAGACGCTCGAAAGCCGCTGAAAATAATAATTACGCGTCGAATGTCAAATAGCGCGATGCATATAAGCGTCCTCGCGATATAAGTGCAGAAGCATGATTCGTCGCGGCCGGGGCCGCGCGCCGATAGAGACTTTCTAGGGCACGATAGAAATCAGTCGCGTTATTGCAACGCGTGACAAACCAGCTATTCGTGACAACCATTTCCAACGTAGATATTCCGCGAATTTTTTGCGACAGTTACAGTTCTCTTGGAAATTAAACAACTGTCCATTTCCTGAAAGTTTAAACGGATGTTTGATCGAAACCTGTTACCGATGCTCGGGATTCAGTCGGGATGAACATTAGATGAGACGTACATATGTAGGTATTATTACATTTGGGTTAATTTGATATACATATGTATAACGAGATATGGTACATGATACAGTACATAGAATAGACACGTGAAAAATTGTTTTTCAAATCTCTCGAATGTTCCCAAACACTAAATTCCAGCGAGTGTTTCTATCGAGGAATTTCCTTGTCCTCGTTTCATATTGTAATCACGACCTATCCAAGGTTTACGACGCGAAGGAAAAGGAATCGCGAGGCGAGGGCGTGGGTGGGCGTCCAATCTACATACTAACCGATTAAAGTCAACACTGTTAACACAGAATGGCCTCGACTGTGCTAGAGAATTACTCGGCCAAACACCCTGTATTTCTCTGCAAACTAATGAACCAGAGTATTCGATTAATTACGAGAAAGCAAACCTTCTGGTTGATCGTAAACCTATCTACTCTCCCGGTGAAATTTACATACGTAACTCTATCGTTGTTATTAGCCATACCAGTTGGAAATCTTGACGATTCACATTTCGACGTCTACGTCTTTAACCAATCGACGAATAATTTCTGTTTCTTTTTCTGCTGGTTATTAAATGTGTACTTGACGACAAATGTTTGACTACTATCTGTACGCGTACATGTTGTTGATGTTTCAGAATTAAGACAGAGTTCCGGGAACCATAAACGATTCAGACACAGAAGTAAATCCACATCGATGGAGAGTTACAGGTATATTACCTACAGGACAAATTTCTCCCAACTTGAAATGCATTTATTATTGACATGTTTTTCTTAAGGTCCGAATTCGTCGACCTTTGCGTACCGCCGGGCTCGGTGGATACCGTCGATTTAGGTAAATTTTCATTTCGGCTAAAATATTGTACTTGGCGAAAAAATTGGTGCCTGCTAATTTTCATATACACGATTAACTATCCACAGACGTTCTACGACAATCGTCTCGGTCGGAGAATCGTTCGATGGGAACCAATGCAGAAAAAGAAAAATACACGGTACAGATAGTTCCACCGCCACATCTCGACCTGAACACGTACGGACACCTCAAGATCGATTACACCAACAGTTGGAACTCGTTGAACCGCAAGATTACTAAATAATCTTATCATTTTCCATCGTTTCTCGTCTCGATTAACTAAATGGTACACCGCGGAATGGTAAAAATAAAAGCTCTTTCTTGTTTTCTTAGCTACCCATGGATACTTAATTTAACGACATCGTCGATTACTTATGTAACATACATGTGTATGTACCTATATGTAGATTCTACTTAAGAACATTGGCATGAAACCAAAAACTATTGCTAGTTTAGTTAGTCGACAAACGAAAATTACAAGTTAATTTTATAAGAAAATTAAATTGTTCTTATTTGCTGACCTTACGTAAAGTACATATTTTAAACGATATTAATCGCAGTGTCGTTATCTTCGTGAAATAACTTTCTTTTCTTGTTTCTTGTACCATTTTTAACGATTTCTTCCTCGATATCCATGGAGGTGCTGTTACTCTTTTCTATGTCCAACTCTGGCCACCTTAGCGATTCGTTGTTCGATATTGTGATTTAGTATTTTAATTAATAATCCTTTTTATATATATATATATAAATGAAATAGAAAGATTGTACCTGAAACACGTTGTACTCTTGTTGCTTTTATTCGAGTCCTTTGTTTGTCCTCTCTTTTTATTTTGAACCTGTATGATACACAAATCGCACAATATTTTACGAGATGGAACATTGAATGATTAGCCGTCGTATTCTATGGAATTGTTAATGTTAATAAAAAGGTTAAAGGTTACGGAAACGGCATTCTGCTTGGCGTTCATTAGCAACACTTTGTATTTCTGAATCTCGTCAGAGTGTCGGTGATTCAGCGAGGCAACATCTTCCCTGTATTTCTCTTGTTGAAGCAGCAATTGACCTTTCAGAACTTCGACCTCGTCCTGTAGTCTGACAGCTATGTTAGAAACGATACCGCAGAATAAATACATAGTACAATAAATAAGATAAAATCACTGGTAAGGAGTGGACTGAAAACCTAATTGTAATAACTAATAATAGATAATACTTTGTTCGTAGTCGCCATTACGGTCAGCGACGATCAGACGCAAGTGGTTGCACTGTTCCTTCAAGTCTTGGACCGTTTTACGAAGAGTCGCGTTCTCTGTTTGCATTTCTTCCGCTATTAACTTGTATCGATTCTCGAGAAGCAGACATACTTTCGATAGTCTTTCCAAATTCCCTTTCATTCTTTCTAACCGCTCGTTTTCCATCTTCAGTGTTTCCTCTTGAGAGTCGCAGTAAGTTTTTAAAGCCACGTATGCCTATCGATTACTTGGATATTAAAAACATTGTTCTTTTCTCGAGTAACGTTTTTTCTTTCGCTATCTATTAAATAAAAAGAAAAGAGAATCTGTCGTACATCTCGAACTCGAGTGAATTCGTCTAAAATTTCTTGATGCTCGGGTCTCGTGTACTTGTCGTCCTTCATCTTGAATTTGTCCATACTCGGGGAAACTAACTCTCTTTGAACAGAGTGGTTGAACGCAGTGAGTAACTAATTAACGAATTGGTACTGCTTGCCGCGTTATACGGTTTTTCAAATGAGATTTCGTTGCGTCGAGACGAAGGGTTTTGTTGGAATGATAAGTGAAAAAGGCTTACGCTTAGATGCGACGCGAACCTTGAGTGAAGTTCGAGTCTGACAATGAGCGTGAAAGGCTCGTTTGCAAAGTACCAAGTGTTGATTACGGTTGTATTTCGATGCGTTTTGTGACAGACTTTCGGGATTGTTAGATTACAGTACCTCAGGATTGCTAGATTTACAATAAAACGTAGCTACTGCTGCGGAGGCCCTGAGGGTGGATTCTATGCGTACGTGGTGTTGCACGAATATCCCATTTCAAAACGATTCAATGTTTAACTTGAATACTGAATTGTCCATAAAATTCAAATGCTAGTTTAACTTTTCCAAATGATACAATTAATTATTCGTCAATTGAAGAAACAAGAAAATGAAAAAACAGTCAAGAGCGGAATGAATGAGAAATATTGTATTTGCCAAAAATCCATGAGAAGTTGTCCGTGAAACGTATTACAATTGTGCGAACATTTTGTTTTCCTCCGACTTGTATCTATATGTATGTATTTTCTCTGGTTGGTTGTCCGAGAAAAATGACAGGAATTCACTACCGGTTGAAAATGCCCGATGCAATCTAAATCCATCATTACCATCACCGTCGCGTTCGACAACGAGAACAACAAGAACAACAAGAACAACAAGAACGTCGATGAATCGATGGAAGAGTCCATTTTCGAGCAAATATGCGACACGATATTCGTTCTGATCCCCGAAGGTATCCATCGAACCTGAAAATCAGTTTAGTCGAAATACTCGTAAACATAAAATATAGCGAAAATTTATATCGCGTTAATCGACGCAACGAGCTATCGAATAAGCACACGCTTTTTCGAGAAGGGACCATAAATAAGATGTTGTAAAATATAAAAATGATGAGTAACGCGAGCGTAATTCAATGGTGATGACAACAAGTTTTAAAAGGGGTTAGGCATTTACAGTTGGATAGTCGACAAGGAACGAGACAATTTTATAAATTTCTTTTAGTCGCGGTATTAATTTTCTTTTCGATTCCCTTTAGACTGATCCAAAGAATTGTTAAATCTAATCGAAACTATCTGTGCACATATTGTCAGTTAAACACTTGTCAGTTGGCAGTTATCAGCTCGAACCTGTACAAACATATAATGCACGTTTTATTAAACTGACTATATAGATGCGTACTTACGATGAGCTTCTATGATAGTGCCGCGATTGAAGCAGTTGTTTCTAACCTGGAGTCAGCTAGGCACGGAAGACAGATCGCAGTTGGACGATAAAGTAGCCAACTGGTGTTGCCCTAATAGACGACAGCTTTACAAACCTCTACAGGAAGCTCTGGTTCGTTGGGAGACGGTGCAGGACACCCAAGGTGGCTATGCAAACTTATTTGTCAGCCACGTTCAACTAAGAAATAAATAATTAGCTCACTCTGAATATAAAATGTAAAACGTTAACGACCCAAAAATCTCGCTAAAACCAGAACCTTGACATTAAAAAAGTAATTTTCTGATCGTAATGTTCTTTCATTTGAAAACAATTGATACTTTCAATCGAAAAGTTTACAAGTATCTGTTTAGGTGTGAAATCGATTATTAATCGACTCTTGACAGGTGCTCCTGGCTGCGAACCTGGTATGGTATCGTTTTCATGCGACCCGCAACTGGAAGAGGAGCTCGTCAGCGTCATTTGCAGCCTGGAATTATTGTTCGTCAAGACTCGTAGAGGCAAAGAGTTCGACTACGAGGACTACGAGTTGGGCCTTTCCCGTTGCACGGACATCGCGAGACAAGTGTCCTTGAATTTAAATTGCGAGAGCAACCTGCGTTCCATTCTCAGCCCGAAAGAGAAAACGCCCCATTCGGTTCACAGTTGCGGTTACATCGTGGACCTGAAGCTGAAGAGATCCGATGACGAGCTTGGTGGATACTTGACCAATTAGATATCAAAAACTTTTCGTTTATAATTTATCTGCGTGAAATCCTGAAATGTATAAAATACTAATGTAAGCTCGAGTAACATTTGAAAATTGATACCATTCGTAAGCAGTGGTGAAGATGACTTCCGGTGCTCGCGGCGTATGTTGAAACGGTCGTGTCGTGTCGTGTCGTGTCGTGTCGATGAACGCTCGTCGATTTATCATGGTCACCGAACGCTTCTACGTTGTTAGTGACATAAAATATTTTATTAATCATCAGTTATAGGGTCAAGGTGTACGAGCATACATTCAACTTATACAGTCGATCGTTACGAGAAACTAAAAACAAATACAAAGGAAAGGTCCGAATCGCAATGTCGACTCCGTGTACTCGAAGGGCGTCTCGCTAATAGGAGAACGTACCATACATTTCACGCTCTACCAGGGGACGCGTCCTTTGTCGTTCGAGATCCGTGGCTCTTTAAACCATTGGTATTATTATATTACACGGCAATTATTCCAGGACGAGCACACTGCCCTTTTACGGGAGAAGGGTAGAGATAATACATACTATATGTATACGTACGCGTGTACACATATGTAACGAACCTCGCATACGAGCAAACAACACCTTACAATCTCGCCTCGCCTCGCCTCGCTTCTTTCATCCTTCGTTCAGCTAATTTTGTGCAGCTCGGTAACAACTCGCGATTAGAACGTGTTACCAATCCACGACAACGTTTAACAAGCAGTTTAACGACCATTGCAAGTCTCGAATTACATCCGATTCTAGCAGAGCGGAGCAGCCTTTGAAACGACCGGGAAGAAACGCTTCCTGGAACGTGGTCCGAGTACCATCGGTGATTTAATTGTACCAATAGAAATGGCTCGAAATACATGGTTCAGCAGGAAAGCTCTACAAGAGCTCCGATTTGGTTAGGTAGCCCTACGGATTGGTAAAATTTTATTCGAATAATAAATAACGAATAAGACACGAAAAATATAGGTACAATTCGTACAAGTCGTGAGGTTTCTTCGATCGAATTTCAACATTTTCATTCGTTGATTGTGTGCTACGAGTATCAAATAAAATACTCTTAACGAGCAAACATTTTGCTTTTTCTTTTATTCGTCATTAGACATGTCTATCCAAGTAAAAATTTTGTCCAATTCAGGTAGGTCCACCCGCTATCGAACAGAAACTGAAAACTTTTTTTCGTAAAATTTCCTTTCGAAATGTTCCCCGAACTTGGTATCGAAGACGCTCGGTTCGTCACGGTTTTCTTCACAGAAGAAATTACTATACAATTCCGTGCCACTCGTCGGTCAATAAAATATTGGTCAGGTCTGCTGCGTTCCACGGAAATGGATGCCATCCGCGCATCCAAACATCTCTCTCCAAACATCGTGAAAACGCTCCTCGATCCACATACTCGGACGACCCAACACCGCCGTTAACCCCTTGACGCATGAATCGTACGTGGTGAATTCAAACGATTAAACTTTATTAAACTTGTGTCAAGAGTCGCTTAGTAAGTAGAAATGCTTCGCGAAGATATCCAAGTTGTTTACTTTATACGGACAACTAATCGAAAAATCGGCATTTAAATTGTTCCGAGATTAACATTTTCTTTCCAATGTTCGTCAACGTGTTTAATTTCAATTTTCTCAAAGGTGAAAACTATTGGAAACTATCGAAAACCTACTACTGGTATTAATATCAACTAACATATTATTTAGTAAGAAGGAACAGATACGCTTCCCTCGGATATGGCATATTTATCTATCAAAAGAGCAACAACAACAAATCCATTCATGCTATTTGTGATTAACTAACTATTAGTAACAGTATACTGTTAGCCTCGAGGGGTTAAGAGGATAGGAGCTCGATTGTCGCACGGATCCTTCCGCGGTACAGGGACACGAAACCGGAAACGAAATGGCGACGTGTCGACGGATTAACCAATTGATCGGCCGAGTGAGCAGCTTGCACTATAATTTTCTTCGCGCATACGCGAATATTTTGAGACTTGGACGGGCTACAACGCGCGTCAACGATATACATATGTATATGTAGAATCCGATTCTCCTGTTGGAATCTTATTACGGCCCTATCGCTTCCTCTTTGATCCAAAGGAACAGATTACCTTTGTCCACGTTCGAGTTGCGTACATGCGATGCATACAGCGATTCGTCAGGACCCGAACGAGTGACAAGTTTCTGGGCCCTGGTTCTCTTTGGATCAAACGGAATCACAGACCTTTTCCTGTTACTTTCGTAGAATTCTCTCATCTATAATGTTGCATGGTTCGCGTGCCACGATGAATCTTCACATTAAGGAGCCATACATGTATAATTAAAATGTATAATCTATATACATATATGTCTCCTCGATATGTCTTTGTTCGTTTCGTTTGCGGTACGCAAAGTCACACACGACACGCTTCTAGTATGTCCACGCGTCTCTTTTCATGCGTTTAAATGATAGCCTACTTAACGCTAGATTTAATATTAATCAATAGTAATAGCATTCAATGTCAACCGATATTACATGTTATATACATATACATATATGTATATATATCACATGTAATATACAATGTGTGTGTGTGTGTGTGTGTGTGTGTGTGTGTGTGTTTTTGGACACCCATTAATAGACGTTACATCGCGCTGTCTAATGATTGCGAGCGTTTATTGCTTAGAGTCTACACCCTGATTGACCTTTTGTTATTTATTTTTATTTTTATTATTTTTATTTTTTTAGACTTATCGTAGAGACGGTGCCGGTTTCGGGTAAGAAGATCACGTGGAACGTCGATCGCGTATCCGATAAATCGGTTTCTTTCTCGAGTAACATAACATCTATTAACGAGGTTCCAAGACTACGGACGCTGACGATGGATCTCTCGGTATACGAGTGAACGCACCTGAGCAACGCGTTGATCAGTCATCGATGCAACCTCTACAACCCTCTACAACCCAAAAGGCGTGGTCCCAAAGTGAATTCTGACCTGTGCGCTGAACTGCGTTGCGTTGCGTTGCGTTGCGTTGCGACTCTGTGTGTATTTAATTGCCCTTTTTCGTCTTCTCGGTGAGTCAGCCCAGAGCAAGTTTCTTTCCGGTTAAATCATCGTTATAATTCACCTTTGATATCCGGTAACGAGTACAAGGGAGCAAAACGAATCCGGAGATTACGCTAGATTCAGTCCGATAAATAAAACTAACGTTAACGAGTGAGAGTAGAAACATATTTTCCTCATATAGATAACAGAGAGTAAAAATATAGACACGCGATTAAGGGATTACGGCATCTTGGTGATATCGAGAGGGAAAAGATTATCGCCAATTTGTTATAATATTATCGTAAGCCCGATTTCATTTAAACTAATTGTATTCTTTTCGCGCTACCTCTGACAAATAACGACAGAGAACTTGGGCTTGCGCTACCATCCCTCTTCTCGATCTGTAAATAGATCACGGACACTCGTGCCAAGTTTCAAGAGACTTTGGATGTCATCCGCGGTTTGGTACTAGTCGCGAATTACGCAAGGTTCTTATCGCATCGTTTGGGCACTCGAGGATCGAGACACTCGACGTTTCGCTCTGGCCGAGTACATAAAAATACATTACCGAATCACGACTGAAACGCGACGCATCCAACATCGTTCGTGCGATCAAATCACAAAGGATACAAAGGATACACGCCGATGGGCTTCGTCAAATCCCGTACCGTCGCTTCTACGTATATTTGCGTATACTTCCACGAGATTTTCGCAATTTGTGTGTGTGTGTGTGTGTGTGTGTGTGTGTGTGTGTGTGTGTGTGT